TTCCGCCCCATGACCCAGCCTGCCCCCTGCCTCTTCACCCCAGCTGAACGCCTCTCCTTGTTTTGTGACTAACATAGCATGCCTATTACCACAAGAAATATTCTGAACGTCAAGAACCACACTTGACTCCAGTGATTTGGGAGTATTAGCATCAATCCTTGTGCCAGATGATTTACCAATTCTGTGCTTGCCACCACCCAATAGCCCATTGCCAGTACCTTCTCCCCAAATGAAGACATCTCCAAGGTTATCAAAGTCTTCAAGGCAAGAACCCTGGCTAGATGAACTTAGAGCACTGGATAAACTAACTCTAAATGTATCAGCTGTAGAACTTCGAGCATTTGAGTTGTCAACTGCTCCAGCAGACAACGAGCTAAGATTAAAGGAACCTGTTTCAACAAGCGTAGGACTCTTGCCAGCTGCAGTGTATTGAATAATGTCAGCATAAGCATTTCCAAGCCTGCTCTGAGGTAAACTCTCAGTTTTCTGATTGTCTCCTTGATCCTGAGGCAAAAAGATGGTCATACAACATTTTGGATCAGTTGGAGGGGGAAGAGGTGAGAGGAGAGGAAGAATGGACACACAACTGAAGGTACAACAAAATGCCAACATACAATAGATGAAGTTGATGTGGTGACTCGTTGACCATGTGGACTATCCGAAAACACGGTTTCACTTCTTGCATCATATTTTCCTCTGCGAGAGCGTCCCCTAGTAATTATTGCTTTCAGCCCAGTAATCCAAACCTCAGCTTCATCCTTGTCTTTACAGATCTACACAGAATTATCATAACAGTTCTAGATTAATTTTTTTAAGACTTGTAAATATCAAAATGTCATTTTTCCTGACAGGAAAGAATACTTATTTTCATTGAGAAGACAAATCAGAAACCTACCAAGTCCAAAGATCGGTCGTTACAGATGAGAGAAAATGATTGATACTCCTTTTCAGGTCGAGGATACCGCTGGAATATTGCCTGAGGAGGAGAAAATTACCGCTGTTTTGGTCAGCCACTTGAAACTAAAGGTCTAGCACAAGAGGAAGAGGAGTATATAACCACACAGAAAAGGATCTAAACTTGACAAGACGTAAGAATAGCAATGCCCTTGTGAACTATAAAATGTGAAGTCTTTACAATTCAATCATAGAGCACAATAAAAAACTTGATGCAGAAATTACTCTTTCTGATCAATGATCAGAAAATTTAATCCACCTTTCCTTTATAAGGGAAGAAAGTTGTGGGAATACTCAAACTCACAGTTCTCTGTCCAGGAATAATCCTTGATACATGACACAGTTCAAGCTGTTTTTCTTCTTTGTCGTGGTACCATACTACCGCAGATTCGTCCTGACACATCAAGAAATCCCTTAGAGAAACAGTATAAACACAACTAGTAATCAGGTTTTCCAAGCAGTCAAAGAAAACATTAGTATTTAATCAAAGGGATATTCAACATTAAGTTTACTTCTTGAATTTTTCTTGGCCCTAGGATCTCAAACAATTCAATATCTTGTATCTTGTTCAGTATATGAGAACCATAAATGGAAGCTGATATTTTTAGGAAAAAAGAGGAACTCAATAAGCTTTTCTCTTGCTGTTAAAATATGAATGCATGTTTTGAATACTAATGGAGCATTGAAATTCCCTTTTTCACTTTGTTCTTCTGGTGGTGAGTTCTTTTTGATGTTTGATTTCTGTGCAATTCCTTTCCGCTTTCCTAAGAATAATCTCAAATCTCTCTCTTTTAGCTGCTACTGTGAGGGTGACATGCAATAATTTCAACACCATGCCGCATGACCAAAATGCAGTTCTTTCTCTTTCCACCATATCCTTTGACTCTAGCCAAGAACATCTAAGTGTATTATTCCTTTTACTACTTATCGCGTCTCAATACTTTGGTGACAAAATAGCCTACAACATATTTTCTACCTAGACATGGTCTCTAGTTTCAAAGTTCTCAACTGTCAATTCTATGCTAATTAAGGCATAGAAAGAAACCTTAATATCAAGATTTTAAGAGAACAAGGATTTCAAAGCATTTTTTCTATCCTCTGCTACCGCGTACTGCAGATATTAAGAACAAAAAACCGTAGATACTGTACTCCAACTTTGATTTTGTGAACCCCATGACTGCAAATGGAAATAATATTTTGAACAATGAGATAACTAAAGAACTCACATTAGAAAGACGAAAAGGACAAAACTTGGGTTTTCCTCTGCGCCCATACTTCAGCAGATTTGCTCCTTTCTTAAGTGCTGCAATGGCCTTCAAATGAAACAAAGCCAACAGAACAGACAACAAGCAGAAAATTTTAAGCTCAATACCTACATGCAGGGTAATAATGCATTCATTAAATGCATTAAATCAAGAACCTCATAATGTACTCTATAGACATGTTGCTCGGACCCTCCAAAAATGCTACCATACCCGTATCAACAGTGGCAAAACCAGGATTTTCACTAAAGAGGTTCAAAACATAAAGATGTCCACACACACGAAGAAGCCAAAAGCGGGTGTAACATCTACTATATATACATAAAAATAATTTTAACCATGCATAAACAGTGTAAATTTTCACCGAAGGGGTTCCAAAATATGAAAAAGTACACACACAAAGAAGCTAAACAGGAGTTCAACATGCACTACATATACACAAAAAATAACTTTAACCGTGTATAAACAATGTAACTTTCTGCTGAAGGGGATTCAAATGAACCCTTCGGCCCTACCTAGCTCCAACACACGCCTGACAGTATTTTTAAAAAGTCCGAGCAACACAGAATATGTCTATAGTAGTTTGGCAAATAAGAAAAATGGAAGTACCTGATCAATGTCCCTATCAGCAAGACTAGACCTTTGGAAATCAGCCATTCAAGTGGTAATACTATTAGGTGAAAAACCCCAACTGTTGAACCAAAACCCATCAGAAAAACCACAGGGAAAAGTTTTCCCTTTACTAGTATACCCCATATACAAAAAACACAACCAATCCCCTCAGCTACATATATAACAACACCAAATTCCTTCATCTATCCCATTCTACAACTCTTCAAAAATCCTCAACAAAACATTCCCCTTTTCACACATAAAAAAGCAATCAACTTTCAACTCCCCAGCAGCTGAAATCACTTATTCACTCCTACAACAACATGAAAAATCCCTAATAAGTCACCATTTTTCACATTACACAAAATAAATCCAGAAAATTCCAATAAATTCAAGAAATGCAATTAACCAAAAAGGGTCTCATTTTATAACAAAAAGATTGGATTTTTACCTCTTTTTTCTTGAAAATTTGAGGTGATTCACTAATCAACCCCTTGATATTATTATCTGATGAGCCAAAATATTTTCTGGGAGCTCAAGAAATGGATATAAACATGCAAAACAATGAATGTATTTGAAAATTAAGAACAAAAAATACGTTCTTGAAATTGAAACCTTAATTGTTTCAATCTTGAAAAAAAAGGGTTTTTTCAGAAACCCATATTAGTAAAAAATGTAAATAATTCCAAACAAAATTAAGGAATCAGAATTTCTACGTGCGTCCCTTAATGTTCTATTAGGTGTTATCTGTACCAATGATCTCTGTTTTTTAATTGTTATTTATTTAATTAATTAAAATTAATTAATTTAATCCATGTCAGTAACCCGACAAAGTTGTACCTAACCTGGGAATCTCCGATGGATGATTGAGACGTTTGGTTTTGTCTTTTTGACTAATAAGGCCAAAAAATATATTGTTCGTTTTAATTAATTTATCTTTCTTTAAAAAAAAAATAAAAAAAATAAAAATATATATTTTATTTTATTTTATTTTTTTTGGATATATTTAATTTAAGATAATATGATTTATATATTTTTAAAATTTTTTTGTATTAAGTTAAAATAAGACAAAAAAATTAAAATGGAATAAGTATATGTAAATATGTTTGAGATTCTCAATTAGTCAAAAAGGAGAATTCTAAACATGACTTTTTAAATTAAATATCTTTTCCTTTAATCAGATCATCGTTGATTCTTCGTCAGAAAGAAAAAGAAAATAAAAGTGCTTTTTGCTTTTTTCTAGAAAAAAAAAACTGCTATCCTATGAATCTTTATTTTTCAAATGTTACTCTTTTAAACAAGGAATATGGGATTTTTAAAAATAAATCGCATTCATAAATTCATATTTTGAGCATTATGATAGAAAATGAGTAGGTGATCAAGGTTCTTTAGTTTGATTTAGTGTAACCTGTTCTTTTTTTCTTTTATTTCAATTATCATATTATTTAGGGAAAAAGGATAAATATACCTTTGAATTATCGTAAATGGTATCGTCATACTTTTGGAACATTGGTGCCCCTGCCGTCCAAAAAGTTGAGCATATATACCCTTTATACTAACGGACATACACGTGTCATAATCTTATCCATCGACCGATATTTATTAAATATTAGATCGACGGATAAGATTGTGTCACGTGTCCCTATTTAGTCTTTTGTTAGAATGAAGGGCATATATGCTCTAGTTTTTGGATAGCAGAGGCACTAGTGTCCCAAAAAGTAGTATGACGGAGGGTATCTGCATACCATTTAAGATAGTTCGGGGGTATATTTGTCTTTTTTCCCTATTATTTATTGTTGATATTTGTTCTCTTCTTAATTATTTTTAGCTTGACTTTTTCAAAAATTGTATTTGTTTTATATACCCGATTATTGATATGCTTATTCGAGTCGAGAGTCTATTAAAACAATCTCTGTAAATCACAGAAGATAAGATAAGATTGCATACACATCATCTGTTCCGGACTTACTGGTGGATTATTGTTGTATTAATATAAATATATTTTCAATAAGGTTACCATGACATTTTTTTCTTTTTGTTAAGTGCTTTATATTGTTATTGGACCAAAAAGTCCATTTTTAAATTAAAACAAAACCGTCGTTTTCTGAAGAGTGTCATTGTTCCTTATTAAAAAAATTAAATTTGAATAGCAAATTAAATATTCTTAATTAAGAGTGAAAACTGAAAGGATTATCCAAACATAGTTCATCAAAGTAATTAACACACATAACTAATTAAGAAGTAATTTAATAGTACAAAGAGAAATTAATTAATATCGATAATCATCATCAAAGGTCATGTAGTTGTTCCTTCTGGTTCTTGCATCTCTATCAGCCTGCTAAATCAAAATCATTACCATTAAACTCAAAGTTAAAAATGCATGTAAAAATAAGTATCCAACACAAAAGTCCCTTCTCTGTTCTTTACTCTGATGTTCACGCAACTAATAATTACTATCTCAGAAAGTCAATTTCTCTGTTGAGGAAATTTGAAATAAAAAAGAAATGTGACTTTCTAAGATAATAACTACTAGTCGAATGTAGTTTTTACAACAATCATGAACACAATCACTTCCTTCAACTCGAACTATATATATATATATAACGATTTTTTATGCATACATATACTAAATCAGAATCAATTGTCCTATAAGTTGCTATCACTCCTTGGTCATCCAATAGTTATAACAGTAGTTATTTTTTTTAGTAGTAATTATTTTCCTGTAATAGTGTAGTTTTTCATTCCAGTTATTTTTTTGTAATAGTGCAGTTTTAAACTACTTTGTCTCAGGAAATAGAACCAGAAAAGTAATTTCAATTTTTGAGTACTTTAACTCAAGAAATCACAGGTTCTCTCTTAACGAACCAACACCATAGGTAGAAAAAAAGAAAACCTCTTTCCAGACTCCTAATTCACTCAACATTAACTCTGGTTTTGTATTGCAACATCCCATAACTAGATCCATAACAAGGGATAGTAACATAAGCTAAGTACAATGTTACACTTCTGATGATCATTTAAAATCTTGAATCGACCTCTACGAAAACGGTGTTTCAAATTTGGTAATGTGAGCAATCCCTTACTAGGGGTAAAGTAATACATTCAACCCTGTCTATAATAACATTTCACTGTAATAAATTAACAATCGAGTTTCTTTAAAATCAATTTTCATGTTATCTCTAACATGATATATATGTTTCAAAAAATATCCTAACAAACAACACCATTATAAAGAGATTTGACGGTATAAAAACCACCAATATAGATTTACCTTAGCTAAAAGCCTTTCAAATGCTTGTGGTCCATGTTCTTCAATATATTTTTCAGCAGCAGTTAGAACATCATCTGGCTTACTGAAAATATCCTTCTTCAAAGGAACATACCATATTTTAACTTGTGGATTTCTATAAAATGGTCTTATAAAATTCTCATAAACATAACATGCTCCATTGAAGTAAGGTAAAACTAGCCAACATATTGCACCTAGTTTTGCATAAGACCATATTGGAAACCTGAAAGTATAAAACAAATAACATACATCACAAGTCGATTTTTCTAAAATTTATTTATCGATTTGATATAAAACTTGAAAATTTGAATCTTACCATTCAATGAGCTTAGAAAAGCTAAGTTCAAAGAGAGTAATCAAAGAATAAAGAACCCAATACGTTAGCCATTGTCGATCATCTGCACGAGACTTTGTTTCTATTGCCTTAATAGATGTATACCTGCAAAATTATAAAAATCAGTAACAAAAAGGTACTGAAATCAGTTACCTAAAAGAAAAAAATATTAAAAAAAATACACTCTTAACTTTACTATGGAGATCAAGTAACTTACAGAGGATAAACAAGAGAGACTAGAGGCCTGGAGGAACAAAAAAGTCGAATCTTTAGCATGTGAAATGACTAAGTAAAATATCGTAGCAAGAACAAAAAAAAAGTGTGATAACGTAACGATATGACATCTGAGCCTAACTTAACCCCAAAAACAAGCTCATAAGGGAAGGATTGCCCAAGTCCATATAAGCAGATCACCAGTCTATTCACGACTTTTACCTACTCTAACATTATACAAATATATATAGATGAAGATTGAGAATGCTTACAAAGCAAGAACATCAATATTTTTGGCAATTACAGCAAGAACATTGTTGTCTGAACCCATTTTTTTGATAAATGAACACTCAACTAGTAAGAAACAGTAGTACTAGGGAGGAGTGGCTATTAATTAGAAGATGAAGTGAGAAAGAAGAACCTGAGTTGATAGTGTAAATGCATGGACTTTTTAGTACAGAAAGGAGTCAAAAAGGTAAGTGGAAAAAAGAGTGAATTATGGAAAGTACGAAAAAGAAAATGATTGAAAACAGTTTTTGAATAAATTTTTCTTTTCAAGAAGCATCTTATGCTTCACGAAAATCGAGGCACCGAAAAATGAATAATTGGAACTTCATTTCCTGTGTGTGAGGACTGAGGATTCACTCAAAAGTCAAATATTAACACGCAGTCCGAAAACTAATGTGAAATGTCACTCGTGGGGTGAAGATGAGGTATGTTAGACGGTGGAGAGAACACAATCAATACGGAATGCCACTTGTAGAACTTGTTTTCTCTACTTCAACTAGGGAAGTCATTTTTCTCATCTTTAAAAAACTACTTTTACTAGAGAATATTTTCAAAAATTTAGCCACAATCACCTATGTTAACAATGTCATAGGGGTCTGTGGCTCTTGTAGGGCACTTTTATATGATAACGGTAGTTTCGGCCCTGCTTGCACTAGCTTGACTATTCTACCAGGTGCTTTCTAATTCTCACTAGCACAATTAGCAGGTAAATTGCCCCTCTAAGGCTTAGGCAGATGAGAAAAAAATCACCTAGCGTTTGTCTCTGCAGGGATTTGGACTCTCGATGTTTCAACACTTGTCCAGAGTCCTAGCCTCATTATGATCTTCATGATTTCTTCCATGCTCTGCTGTGGTTGATCAGAAGCTTCAGCATTTTAACCATCCATCACGTCTTTTACCACGTTCTTTGGGAAAGACGGATGTCTCTTCTATTTCTGGAATGGTTATTCACTGTAAAGCAAAAACAACATGTTTTAAGCTAAGTTAAGCAATAGTGCAATGTGCAATACAACAACTATCTTGAACAAGCAAGTGCAGTCAACCTTTTGTAGCCAACAGGAATAGTTCAAGTGCAAGAACCATGCAAAACAAAGAAAGCTTACTGGTTCCTCACACTCGAATTCATTACCACTTAAATGATCAACTTAAATTCTTCAACTACTCAAACATGAATCATGGCATGCTACTAAGTCCTAACAATAGTAACTCCGTGTTTATTCATCATGACATAGTGGGGGACCTGATGAAGGCAACTATTCATAAGAGTCGAAAATGCATCTCCACTGTTTTTAACTTCTAATTAGCAAGAGCCTTACACACATAGTACAGATGAATGCCAAAAGCATCTTTTTTCAGTTACATCTCATGGTTGAGACTCGAGAGTAAATGAGTAAACATTAGTCAAAAGTTCCAAAAAAAAGAGTGCCAAATGAGTCCCACAAAATGATTAAGATTTAATCTTTAGACAAGGTGTCAAAACGAATACACTATAGGCAAGTATACAATGAATTATGTCGAACTTCAGTTTTCATTAGATTAAAATCATACCTGATACCAAACTCGAGATAGTGTTTGAGGAATGAGGCATGATATTTCTACTTGTTGATGAAGACCTTGAAATCATAATTCTGCATCTCTTCAACTTGTGATTCCCTGATGACCATGGCTGACTCGACAAGCGATTCTTTGCATGACTTCACCTCAATGGATATTAGAGATGTGATGTCTCCAAAGCGAGAAGGGATTGCCTCGAGATATCGACATCTTCTCAGTACCAAGTGTTCAAGGCGAGGAAAAGCATCGTCAGAGACATTCCATTTTTTAAAACAAGGACAATCAACTACTTTCAAAACTTTGAGTTGATGGAACTTGTCACTCGTCACTTCCCATTCGGCCTTTGAGAAAAATACTGCTACCAGCTTGAGTACCTGAAGGTTTGGAAGCATTGCAATGCTTGATTGCAGCCAATACATGGTAAAGTTCGACAAAGTCAATTTTTTGAGATTTGGTGGAAAGTTGGATAGAGAACTTCCGCAAGAATCCATTTTAATACTGAGTGTCTCAAGCCGTGTTAGGGAGCTCATTACATGAGAAGGATAACCCCAACCAACAAATGAGCATCTCAGTTTTCGAAGGTTAGGTGTTCTCAACATCAATTCTGCATCCCTCACACAACAAAAAGTTGGAGAGGAAAGAGTTATCAAATTGTCGAATTTTGAGTTCTGAAGCAATTCTTCCGCAGCATTTAAAGTGGAAAAATGAGCTTTGCTATGTATCTGCAGATGTCTCAATTTAACCATCTTCAAAAGTGTAAGTGGCAATATCAATTTTCCTCCCATCGGTTTGACTATCAAAGTTTCAAGGTTTCGAAGATTGACTATGGACGATGTGATTGACTTCTGAGAAGTTCGTGCAGCAAAATACCTCAGGTAAATTAGCTCAGTTGGGAAAGAATCAATTACAATGAACTCCAAATTCAACACTTTTAGAAATCTGAAGTAAATGTGAGAGAATTGAACAATTGAAAAGGAACCCTTGTTTCTATCTTCCCTGCAACGTACAGTGCCAACAAGTGAGCTCCATTCCACAAGATCAACCACTTGAGAATTAATGGACATGTGACGTTGAACAAGCTGCTTGTGAGAGTAAATAGAGGAAGACGTATTGACATTTTGGTCCCTGTAAAGATAGAAATTCTAGAAACTATTAACTTTCAAATACAGATTGCTTGATGAATTGATCAAATAATTTAACACTGAATAGTGTATTACCGTTTCATCCACAGTAGAAGATTCTTCTCCTTGGCTCTTTCCTTACAGAAATAAAGCAACAGGTCATGAATACGGCATGTTTTGATCTTACCGCCGGAACCCCATTTAGCAACCATAACTAGATTTCTTCCAATAAGATTCTCCAAGTAGCCTTCTGCTATATCCTCCAGACTCTTGTCATCACGACTTTTTATAAATCCTTCTGAAATCCATAACCATGTCAAGATTGAAATGTTGATTTCTTTGTCCTCCAAAAATACTCCAAAATAAAGAAAGCAAGGCTTTAGATGATAAGGTAAATTCTGATAACTTTGCTCTATGATGGCCTTCGAGTTGCTGAGAACGTTAGTACATAAATTCATAGCCACTTGTTTCCAGCATTGTTCACTCTTCTCCATCTTTGTTAGCATACCAGCCACCAAAACAATTGAAAGAGGCAACCCCCTACACTTGTTTGCTATTTCTTGCCCAACATTTGAAAGGAGCACGGAGCAGCTTTCTACACCAAATACTTTCTGTTTTAGTAACTTCCAACTTTCATCATCATTAAGAATACGAAGATGAAGTGGATCACTAACAGATTTAGCATTTTCAGCAACATCAGCATGTTGTGTTGTTAGGATAATTCTACTTCCATTATTGGAATCATGGAAACAACATCTTAAATCATCCCAAACACTAGCTTCCCATATGTCATCAACAAGGATAAGATATCTTTTCCACAATAAAGTTTTGCGAAGCTGATCTGCTAATACATCCGTAGACAATTTAGTAAGAGTAGGAGACTCACCAATGGCATCACGTAGAATGGAAAGTAACACACTCCTACGTGAATATGCTTGGGATACACAACATTTTGCACGGATATCAAATCGAGAGACAACTAACTCGTCAGAATAAAGTTTGTTGGCCACAGTTGTCTTGCCTAATCCAGGCATTCCAACAACTGAGATAACATCTAGCTGTTTGGTTCCTCTTATTAGTTGTTCTCTTAGTTTTTCCATAACATCTTCAAAACCGACAACTTCTTCACCGGTCATCCTTGGAGTGTTAGTCGATTCTGATGATATATGAGCAGGGGTGGTATCCAAGGTATCATGTAATACAAAGGCAAACTTAAAAAGTTCCTTTTCCTGAATCTTTGTGACCTCTTCCTTGATAAGTATAACTTCCTTTATGATGTCGAAGAGCCAACGAACAAGACACCATTCAGGAACTCCTTTTCTAATAAAAGCATCAACTATATATTCCACCTCATAAGCTTTGCCATTTAATAGTGCAGCACAATGTTGGAGCCTTTCATGCTTATTGTAGCACTCTTCCGCCACATCCTTGAGAAAAGGTTGTAAGCCCTCGAGTTCCTTCTGAATAACTTGAAGTTGGCTCTTAACAAAAGAATAATGTGAATCTGAATAACGGTCTTGGAATTCCTTCAAGTTGTTCAGAAGGAAATCAACACAGCCTAGTCCATGAACCCTAGGCAAATTAGATTGAAATGCCTTTCGACTCACGAGGAAGATCACTTCCTTGATATGCTGAATGCTTTTGGGCAAATCAATAAATAGTCTTTGGTTCACTTCCTCCTGCTCCTCACTATCATATAACGAGTAAACGAGAAGTCCCACATCAATGATGACAGTATCAATATCTTTAAGATGAAATTCAAGACCCAGTGTTGGCAAATGGATCAGACTGGCTCTCAAGAATTTGAGCATCTCCACAAGGGTCGCCATTTGATGATTCAAAAACTCTATCCGACTAAGAGTACTAATACTCCGTATCTCCTCCAAGTTGTGCATGAGAGTCTCCACAAAGCCAGCTTCAATCTCAGCTACATACACATTTTGGATATTCATAGACAAATCTGATTGCATTTTCCATTTCAAAGCTTGTAGTACATCCACATAGATTTTGCGGATGCACGGATTAACAGGCTTAATCCTCATCCGCACGAGATAAGAAAGCAAGAAACTCATCTCACCAGGAACCAAATCCTGATCTCTGTTATTGTCATAGCTGGGCATGTACAACCAGACAACCATTGCTGCAAACCCAGCCACAACTAGAACATGACCGAAGAAAGTACGTACGCTCTGAGGCTCAGCACACCACCTGTTTGATAAAAAGCCTACAAGACTCTTCAACAACTTCAGCTCTTTTAAAACCTCCTGTATTTCGCGAGAACAGAGATCATCAATCTCTGCTAACTCGTGAAGATTCTGTACAACACCATTGATGAATTTCATTACAAACTTGGAATTATCAACCCCACTCTTTTCGAGCGAAGGCAATTTCAATGCAATTCCGGAGAAGAAGGAGTAATTAGCTCTGATTTCCATCTTAGTCACCCGAATTTTGTTTTGCAGCAGGGAAG